TTTAAGTTATTAGTTTGATCTTACTTCAAGATCTTACTGAATTGTCAGCAACTCTGATGTTCTAATACATGTTAGTTTGTACTTCAATTCCATTGAGCTTTTTGAAAATATGCCGTTATGAAATGTTGTCCACTGTTGGTAAAAATGCAAAGTGGTACAACCACTATAGAAAAAAAGCATGAGATTCCTTAAAAAAATTTAAACTAGAGTTTTCATGTGATCCAGCAATCCCACTTCTGGATATTTATGCAAAATAATTGAAATCAGGATCTCAAAGAGATGTTAGCATGCATATGATCATCACAGAAGTATTTACAGTAGCTAATATGTGAAAAGAAGTTTGAATGTCAATTGAAAGATGAGTGGATAGCTTGGCATGTGTGGCTCAATGGTTGAGCATCCACCTATGAACCAGGAGGTCATGGTTTGATTCCTGGTCATGGCATATGCCCAGGTTGTGGGCTCAATCCCCAGTATGGGGTGTGCAGGAGGCAGCCAATCAATTATTTTCTCTCATCAATGACGTTTCTTTTTTCTTTCTCTTTTCCTTCCTCTTTGAAATCTATTATATAAAGAAAAGCAAGTGTGGTATAGATACACACTGAAATACTATTAAGCCTTACAAAAGAGGAAATTTTGCAATATGCAACGACATGGGTAAACCTCGAGGACAAGTAAAATCAGTGAAATAAGCTAAGTGAAATAAGCCAATCACAGAAAGACAAATTCATGGGATCAAATAGTGGAAAGGTGGTTGTTAGGGGTTAGGGGAGCTACTAATAATGGGCATAAAGTTTCAGAGGAGATGAATAAGCTATAGAGATCTGCAGTACATCATACCTATAATCAACAACAATGCATTGTACACTTAAGAATTTAGTAACAGAGTAGATTTCTTGTAAAGTGTTTTTTTGATAATAAAATAAAATTTTAAAAATGAAATTATTAAAGGAAAATGAATGCTTTAATGCTGAAATATAGTAGATAGTTGAGAATTTATTGAAATAAAATGGTGATGTAACCATCTAATCCAGTCTTCTTTTCACTTTACATCCAAATCCCATAGAGCAAATATTCTGGGGATGTAATTGTGGTGCCTTTTTAAAATATTCAATAATAGCATTGCTAAGTTGATACTATTTGTACATTTAAATAGAGGAAATATTAGGACTCCCAAAGATCAAAGCTGCTCTTAAGGAATAAAAATGTAACCATTGTGGATGTTTAAAAAGAGTTGATGCAGATTCTGGAGGCAATTTTCAGAGTTCTAAGCATGTAATGAATAATGTCAACACCATGGAACTAAGTGTATAAACCTCAAGGTGACTCATTTGAAAAGGACAGTACTCATTTGATGGATGGACACATTTCCCCTAGTTTTTGGGATTGCATTTGCCTTTACGTTCATGGCTGATTTCTCAAGTGGTTGTAGCAAAACACTAGAGAGGGAGGTTTGGGACCATGCTGAGGCATCTATTTGCTCTGCTGGAAAAGAACTGAATTAGAGTGATCAATAGAAGAGTCAGAACCATGACCTTGCTTCTGGAAACCTGCTTCTTTATCTTCCCATAACCAGATCCTTTCATCATCAAAGCCTAGATGACATGTCACCTCTTCTTCTATTTATTTACTCATTCATTCATTTATTTTACCCCTCCTCCTCCCATTCAGTAACTCTGAGCATTTGCTATGAGCCAGCACTGTTCCTGGCACAAGGAATTACCAGAAAGCCAGAGGGAAATGGTCTCTGCCATCAGATGGCTAATTGGACTCTATATTTCTCTTAAGGCAATTTGGTTATTTGGACATATCACATTTTCCTACAAGACAGTGAATGTTTGATGTCAGTATCATATCACAATGTTTTACAAATAAAGGACAACTGATATATGATGAATAAATGAATGGACACGTGAGTGAATAAGTGAGTGAATGAACCAATCTTTTCTGAGTATTATAACAATTTTTTTTTACCTTTCTGAAATTGCAACCCAACCTCCATCATTATGGGTTGGAGTCACATAAAATACTTGGGCACTGAGAAAGCCATTACAATGGAATTTACAAAACAAAACATTCAAAAGTACTTATGTGGAATAATAGAATATATTTTTATAACCTCACATAATTGAATCAGGATTGGAAAAATGACTACAAATGCAGGATGATATATTTACCGAATAGACTTAATACCTATTAAGAAGAGACCATTAATGGATATTAGGAAAGACTATCATTTTATATAATAGTGGCAGAGGAAGTTTTTCAACTTCCCTAAATACTTCTTTATGCCAAATAATGACTCAATGCAGCATAGATTAGAAATTATCTGTATACTTTGTTTACTTTAGAAAATAGTTTTCTTACATGTATGTAAACTAGCTTTGAGGAAAGAGTGAAATACTTTTATAGTCTACCCTTTCAAAAGGACAAGAAGTTTAGCATGCATGGATTCCCTTTACACTTCTTCCTTCTCTAACTCCCATGTTGACATCTTATGGAATTTTATTTTCAGTTTGTTTCTTTAACACATATACACATGCCAACTGATTTGAATTTAGTGATCTTTTTTTATTACTCTCGTACCATGTTTCTTGTTCATTACTTCCTCCCATATTTATTTTTCTTCTTGCTGAAATACATAATCTATTAATTCTTTCCAAGTAGATGGATGGTAAACTTTCGGAGGTCTTACATCCTTAATTTGTGAAAGCAGCTGAGTGGTTGAATTTATTACACTGATGGCAAGATTTAGGCCTCCTTACCAATCCTACTGAATCCAACAGGCGTCTTCAAACTTTTTAAAGTGGGGGCCAGATCACAGTCCCTCAGAGAGCTGGAGGGCCGGACTATATGAACTACTAATTCCTACTGTAACACCTCAGCTGCGCTCACTGCCCAAAAAACCTGGCGCCGGATCAGACTCCTCTGCGGGCCGCATGTGGCCCGCGGGCCGTAGTTTGAAGACGCCTGATTAGATGCTGACACCATAGCTCCAGTCCCCAAAATTTGCCTTATGACAAATACAGCTTAAGTTTCCCATCCATTCCGAGAACTGGAACAGTGAAAATTTTTCAGAATATAATGGAACTTTGACCTTCATCAGCTTAACATATGAATTCTGTAGGCTGTCTGCTCTGTAGTGGAACAGCTATCTTGTGCTGTATTTTTGTGATGGTCTTAGTAAAGGCTTAAGCTAACGGCTTTTAGCTGGTTTTTCTTTCACAAATTCATCCTTGTTACTAAATGATAGCTTGGCTAAATATTATTTTCCCCAAGAATTTTTAGATTTTGTTTCCTTAACTCATGGCACCCAGTGTTGCTGCTAAGTCTGTCTGTTCTTCAGAGGTCATTTCCCTCCCCAGGTTCCCACCTTTTTCTGCAGCCTCCCGCAGTTTCCTGCCAAGTCCATGCTTGACCACTGTGGCTTCCAGGGTGCTGTACTTTGTCATATTTAAATGTATCTTACATAATAAAAGCCTAATATACTAAGTGTCTGGTTGACCTGTTGGCCTTTCAAACAAAATCAAAGCATAATATGCTAATGATACACTAAGACCACTCAACTGCTATGACGTGCACTGATCATCAGGGGACAGACACTCTAACTGGGATCTGGCTGATCAGGACTGAGTGAGATGGGCTGGACAAACCCTGGAGCCCTCCTGCAGTTCCTCCCTGGCTTGCCAACCTCCCATGTCCCTCCCTGGTCCCTATCATGCACCTGTGGGGTCCCTTGGCCTGGCCTGCACCCTTTTGCAATCTGGGACCTTTAGGGGGGATGTCAGAGAGCTGGTTTTGGCCCAATCCCGCAGGCCAGGCCAAGGGACCCCATTGGTGCCTAAATTTGTGCACTGGGCCTCTAGTTGTGTTATAAGGAAAATGAACTTGTTAGAATTTTTAAAATAAGTTATTCACTTAAGGACAGAAAGGTTAAAATGTGTTTTAGCTTCTCAGTCCCACAGATGGTTTTAATATTGATTCAGGCTAACCTCTTGGAGTTTGATTACACTGAACCATGCTTAGACTGAGTTGTTTTTAACCTCATCAATATTTTACACTCCCTGTGCAATCAGAAAACAGTTCCAAAGACACTTATCAATACGTCCCCTTAAATAAATATATGAGAGCCCCTCTCTCTATGTATTCCCAAAGCCCAAGTTTTTGCTGGAGAGTGCTGTGGGTGTTAGCAATTCCCCGGCTCTCCTTAGACATGGTGGATAGGGGCTTTTGCCTTTGTTATGGGGTGATATCATGTTACCAGCCCCTCCCTCCATCTTTCTATCATCTTCTGATAACCTTTGTGAGAATTTCATTGGATGTCTTCATTCTAGTGAGATTCACACACTGGAGAACTCATACCTAGGACCCAATCAGGGCTGAAAAGGTAGTGTGCACAGTTGTGTTACCCAACAAGGAAATAGCCAGGAAAATGTATCTTCCAAGTAGATCAGTATCCTCTTTGTAAAAGGGAATCATTGGCATGTACTGTATAAACAGAACTTAGGCTTTACTCTTTGGATTCCAAAATGGAATTGTTTTCTCTATGAATGATATGCCAAATGACTGAGCCATAAAGAAACACGTGTGTGTGTGTGTGTGTGTGTGTGTGTGTGTCTGAGAGAGAGAGGGAAACTGAGATTATATTTTAGTTGTTTTCTTTAAGAAAAAGAAATTTAGCCCTAGCCAGTCTGCCTCAATAGATAAAGTGTAGGCCTGTGGACTGAATGGTCATGGGTCCTATCTGGTCAGGGCACATGCTGGAAGCAACTAGTCGATGTGTCTCTCTCATATTAGTGTTTCTCTCTTTCTGTCTCTCCCTCTCCCTTCCACTCTATCTATAAATCAAAGGAAAAAATATCCTCTGGTTAACAAAAAAAAAAAAAAAAAAGTAAACTTGTGTTTCATTATTTGTCAGCCAAGCAGCTTTGCACACATTTCATCTACTAAAAGAATGGTTGCTTGATTGACCTAAATGTTAATGAAAGAATAGCCAGTTCTTTCAAGATATTTCTTCTTTTATTTAAAATGTCAACTATCACAACACATTACACAATGAAATGATGACCTTAGAATCACATGAAAACTTTTTAAAACATTTCTATATAGTCACAAAACATAAAACATGCTTCAGGGATACAAATATAGTTTGTACATTTTCACCATAAAAACAAATGGAGCAGCACAGGCCTATCTGTGAACTTTCTTTCTTTCAGCAGGAGCTGATGTGATTACTTCGAGGGAACAAAAACGATTTCTTTCTTTGGAGACGATATTGTTGACAGGTCTTTACAATTTCACTGGACACTGTGCTTTGTTGAGAAATTACTACTGATTCTATTTCTGAGGGAATCATCATATTAGAATTATAATACCCTTTTACAACACATTTTGGCACAATATGAAAAATAAACACTTCGTTGAGTTTTTCACTCAAAACATTATTATTATTATTGTTGTTATTATTATTAAATAATTATTCCGCATAGTGCACTTCTCATTTTTTTTTTTTTTACCTCTTATTGACCATTGACACAAATGAAGCTCAGTAAACACATTAGGTAGTTTATTTACGTCTTCTTTCATAATTCTGCATCGCATCCCTTTCGTAAGCCACTGAGAACAAAGAGAAGAGAAAGGGTTCTTTAAGAGGATGCATGGAGGGAATGCAAGTTCCAGGCACACATAATGACTTTTTCAAACTGCATAATGACTATTTCCCTCCGTTGAAATATTTCCAAGAGGTTTATTTGCACATCTTCCAATCTTGCCTCACTTTCTATCCTGACTGAAAGTGACCTAACCACAGAATGAATGGTAACTTTAGTCGATTGTCATATATTTGGTTTTCCAAAAGCAAACTTCCACAATATATTGTAGTGTTGATTCTCAGCAGTGTTCTCAAACAGTGGCAGGCACCCCGGATGATTTATAGAAAGGACAGTGCCTACATTAACCAGAAATAGTCATCGGATGAAAGCAAAATGTGAAACTTATTCTAGGACAGAATCAACAAACTATAGGCCCTGGGCCGAATGCAGCCCACCACCTTTTCTTGTAAATAACATTTTACTAAACCCTGGCGCCAGCCATCCGTTTATAGATTGTCTATGGCCACTTAGCATTACAACGGCAGATTTGAGTAGTTGTTACAGAGATTGCGTGGCTCACAAAACCTAAAATATTTACTGTGTGGCTCTTCAGAGAAAAAGTTTGCTGTTTCTCGATACAGACATAACTTATGCTGTGAGAGTCTCTTCCTGTCTCGTGGGTGCCTCCCAATCTCCTTGAGACTAGAAACAGCCTCATAGTCCTTAGGTAGGGCTTATGTGCCATCTAAACACAACACAGTTTAACTTACCTCCTAGCACTCTAATGTCCTGTGAAAGGTTAATCACTGCTTTTAAAAGGACTTACCATATACCTACAAGTAATTTAAGTACATTGACTATCTGGACTTAAAAAGGTCAAAATTAAACATAACATAATATATAAATGTTGTAATGTGACATATTGTATACTAGTATAATTTCAAAGGGTTCGGTAACCACAAAAGGGTAAAGATCAGATTGATATGATCAAAATACTCAAGTATACTTTCCATCATTTTAACTAATACTTTATACACTTAGATTTACATCATAGAGCACTACTATGCTTTTAAAAATTCAGCATGCCCTGTTTAAAATATTACATTTAAATGGAAATAGCAGAAACCACTGGGAAAGATATGTAGAACCCCTAGGTGTTACTACAAACGCTTTTCCCAGTGAGAAGGATCTGTGGAGAGAAAAGGGAAGTCCAGTGTCCAGTTATCACTTCCCCTTCAACACGGGGCAAAAGATTGTTTTATGTCAGTCATGTATGCATTTCTGGGGTAGAATAGGCTGAGCCCCAAACTGGGCAGTTCTGAAGGAAGGAAACAGTTCATGCCTCACCCTGGCGTGCTCATATGAGGAGGACGGTAACTGACACAGGCTCACTTCCTGGCCAGCTGCAGGTGACATGACGCCGTTCCTCAGAGAAGTGAGGAGAATGCTAACGTGAGTTAACCAAAGACAAGTGAGTAGGTTAGCTGGAACATAACGTTCTCCTAACTTCAAGCTGAGTTTCTTATCAGGTCCTTGCACCCTCTGAAGCCATAGGCAAACTTTTGTGTGTCTGAGATGAGGAGGGTTTCTCTGGGAAGGGGGTTTCTAGATTTTTCTAGCTTGTCGAAGGGGTTTGTGACTACAAAAGGCTGTAGGAGCCTAAAAAAACTTTACCTCAACTGAGTTTATGAAAAGATCTCTGATTGAGTGTGGATTACTTTTTTGCTCATTTTTCCCTTTTATATTTCTTAACTAAAGTGAAGGAACAAAGATTTATTTATAAATTAATTCAGATTCATTACAGTGATTCTATTTATTACTTATAATACACTATTACTTTTGGTGCATCTAATCTGTTCTAAATTGTATAGTACCTATATCATTTGTGCTGTTAAGCATGTTCTAAAACTTGTATCATTTCTGGAAATGGAGAATTGAAGTCTAATATGATTATCACAAAAACCACCGCTATATAAGGACTACTGATACGAATTCTAGTGGCTTAAATTTATATTCCATTTCCAAAAGCCAGGAGACAGTGTATATTAACAAAACAATTTTAATTTTTTTATGAGGTGGATTGGTAGTGTCTTTAAAATTTAACCTTGAGCAATCCCAACATTACTGATGAAGAAATACAAACATAGTCATCTAAATTTGGAAGGTAGAGGACCAATATAAATACTAGCAGACACCATTTTTTGCATGACTTTCCAGAAAAATAAGAATTAAAGCAGCATACCTTAGCTACAGATTTTCTAGAAATTAGAAATATTCTAGATGGATAAGACAGCTGCTGATTACTTTCTGATTAATTATATGGTTAGTATTTTAATTCCACTTTTATTCCATGTACAGTGAAGAGAATTTGAATAGTTTTCCTAAGAAACCCAAACCAAGGACTGTAAGGCCTGCATGTGCATAACAACAAGTCAGTCTTAGGAAAATGCCATAGGGGTTATTTGACCTTGGAAATATGGTGATGAGTTTGTTTTCAGATATAAGCATGTGGCATTTACATAGAAAATAAAAACAAAAGAGAAGAAAGGAAGCATGCAGCCTTTACATCAAGTGAAAGAGCTGTCCAGAATTAAAATGGGTTTTGAGAATTATGGCATCCCTTCTTTCTGAGAGCCTTGTAGGCAAGACTGATTGTGTGTATCTCTAGGATGATTTGATTATATTATTTTGTGAAGGCATGGGAATGGATTATAAAACTCTCAAACATCCATTGGGATGTTTTAGAGTTTGAGTTTTTATAGCTTCATTAAGAGCAAATAATTTGTATAAATAATTTTATTTTGTTTCTTTGTTTTGTGTTGGAAAACTGCCAAGTGTGATGTCTTGTAAGACTTGTAAATTAACTTGTTAACAAGTGAAAATTGGTCTTATTTTCTGCATTCCCCACACCCTTAGTTCAGTAAGCTTAAATGTGATTTATATGACAGATATGAGAGAAAGAGTATTAGACTAGCCCAAAGATTCAGGTTAGGTAATAATTAAATGGGACAGACACTGGTAAGACTGGTGGTTTGAGAGAGGTTGATATTGTGGTGATATTAACTTAGCTATAAACCCATTCTCAGATTTATTTATGAAAATTAGAATTTTTCACCATAAATACTTATTTTAAGTTCATTTTTAAAAATAATTTGAAAACTATGCCTTAGAAAAAAAATAATGTAAGTAGATTTAAAATACTGTCTATTTTCAGTCATGATTTTATACATACCAGAATTTAAAGCTCTTTTGCCCATTAGTCCATAAAAGGCATCTGCTCTATGTCCTGGAAAAATACATTTAGGGGTATTTTAACATGTATATCTTTGATGAAATAAACTATTATAATTAGTATCAAAAAAGCAATCTTCTAAATATATTCTCATATAATAAATATGTGTCTATATCAAGTTTTGATGAGTCAAAAAAAACTCTTAATAATTTTTATAAATGATACTAAAATACTAAATGAAATACTCAATTCTACATCTAAATATTAGCAAGTACTCTTTATTCATATTATATTTTATCTGTTTACATATACAAACTTTTAAATATTGTTGCTATTGAAGCTAGCTTTGATTTTTAGGAAGTTGATTTCACATTTGTGTGACAGGGAAATATCCAAACCTATTTCCTCTCATTACTGAATAGATTGTATTCCTCAGGAACTGAGCCTTAGTTAAGTCAGATCCCTACACCTAATAATTACAAACTTCTCAAAGGTTACCCTTTCTACTTTATTGGATTTTAAATAATACTCCTTTTGAAAAGTATGTCAGTTTTGACATTCATAGAGTGCATTTATTTTCATTACATAGAATTCTGCTGTATATAATTCCTTTGAAAGCCAACTCCGTAGGAAGTAAATATGATTTATTTAGTGTCAAGATGGAGCCTCTGGAAAAGATGACTTTCACTAGAGTGAGAGAATGTCCCTTGGTTTACTAGTTGAAAATAGGGCTGCTCTCTTAATGTGGCCTACTCTGCTTACCCAGGACACTAAAACCCAAGCTAGCAACTAAGTGCACAGTACAATTAAGATGAACCCTGGGACTGCCTGTCAACTCTGGTTCCATTACCTGGGAAACTGGGAGCTAATGACCATAGAGTGTCACAATTTTACCATCTTGATTGCCCTAAGAAATGTCCACTGTGCTTTGATAGATTGAGGTTTCCCATTCAGTTATGAAATAAAAAAACAGCATTTCCACCTTTACCTTTAGTAAGGATTATCTACTCAGACTTTCACTGGAGCCCCTTGGCTGCTAGATCACCATTATAAGTGACATCATTATGGCATCCAGCAGACCCAACTGAGTTAGAAGATACCTATCAATATTTAGTTTTGATTTTGTTTTGCAGTGGAAATGGTGCTTGTGTGGTCTGGAGGGATAATGTGTGCTGGATTTTTACCCCAGAATTGAAATTCTGAGCTAAACTGACAATTTGTAGTAGTTAAAGGAGTTTGGAAGTGGGGGGGGGGGGGGGCAGCTTAAAACAACAACAGATATTTATTATCTCACACTGTCTGTGGGTCAGAAATTCAGCAGAAGTTCTGTATCATTTTGAAAGCATGATATGTCTAATGTATCATCTTGAAAGCATGATATGTCTAAACCCATAGAACTTTAAACAATCATGTTCTGGATGAAATATAATGCATCTCTTACATTCATATATTGTTTCAGTAAAACACATTAAGGCCAAACTTATAACAGGAAATAAGTTAAGGTATTATATAAAGTGGAATTCAATCAACATTTGTATTTGATAAAAGTCAAAATAATTTTGAACTTACTTTTTTTATTAGAGAACTGGGCATATCCTATAGGAAAGAAAAATAGAGGAATCCTCTTACCTTATAAGGAAAAATATAAAGTGAGGTTTAAAATATGTAACATTTCCCATTCATATACTACCTGAGGACTATAGCAGAAACACACATTATTGATAATATAAATAAAATCTTAATAGAAAACAATTTTTAAGTGCTTTTTATGGGTTACAGATTCCAATCGAGGACTGTGAGACTCCCGAGGCCTGGTAGTAATTGTTAGGCGATGCCACATCTGTTTCCCTATAAGAAGCACATACTCAACAACAGAAACTGATGAACAAAAATAGATCCAGAGACACAGAAGCATCAAGCATACCTTCAAACCTCAGAAGGGAGGCAGGGGGTAAGAGATCAACCAAAGGACTTGTATGCATGCATATAAACATAACCAACAGACACAGACAGTAGTGGGGTGAGGGCATGTGCTGGGGAGGTGGGAATGACGGGGGAGGGGGGGCAGGTGAGGAAGGAGACATACAAAATACTTTCAACAATAAAGAATTTTTTTTAAAGTACATATTCAAGGAGGGCCACCCACTGATGCAAATACATCTCTTAATTAAACAGGCATAATCAAGGATCTGTATCTCAGTCCATAAGAGACTCCACTTTCCCAAATGTGCATTCACAATAGTAAAATAGAGATGTGTAGAAACGTTTACCATCAAGAGCCTTTAACAGGGTCACTTGTTTTGCAATTGAGGAATTTAACTAGAAACAACTGACTTTTTTACAGAGTCCACTGATGATACGATGCATTCAAGTAAACAATATTTCTACCGGGCGACAAGGAGCAGTTTATCATCAGCTTCCATGTGCTCTTAGAGCATTCCCAGTGCTACCTCTGGGAGGCCCCAGCCCTCTCCTGCTTTGTCAGTTCGGATCTTTAGTCCAGGAGGCTAAGGTTGGGTCCTGTCCTTGGTGGTTTGGGTCTAACACTGAGGAGTGCCTCCTTCCCTCCCCCTGCAGCCACGTGCTGTGCGTGTATTGGTGGGGTGAGGGAGATTTAACCACTCCTTTTAGGCTGGACATCTCTACTCAAAGAACAAGAGAAACTCTGGGTGCTCTGAGAATAAGCCAGCAGACCGGCTGGGTGGCCCTCGGAGACCCAGAGAGGGATGGCTACCCATCTCACCAGCATCCCGTTTGCCCATCAAGCCGAAGAACTGCTGAGGCTTGGGTCGCCGGGCGATTCTCTGCAGAAGATGCTCAACGGGCTCATCCAGCTCCTCCTGGGGGACAGACATACGGACAAACCCGGGTGTAGCAGGCTCCCCAAAACCCAATTCTTCAGGTCGCACTCCTGCCAGGGAGAACCTGGCGTTGGGACCGCCGCAGGCCAGGGCTGGGGGGCCAGCTCGGCAGGGAGACCAGAGCAGGCCGGGCTTGCCCCCGAGGGGGGCTGCGTGGGGTCCGTGGCAGGTCGCTCCCTCCCTCCACCCCACCTCGCGGAACTCGTGTCCAGCGCCACCGCCTCCCCCAAGTCCCTGCGTGTGACCAGCAGGTGAAGTCTCCAAAGCCCCGCGCTTTCGGCTCTTTGCTCGCAGCCTGGGGACCCTCCCTCACCTGCCTCTGAGCCCCCTGACTGAGTCCCATCTCCTCCGGCGGGTTTGCAGGCGCCTCCTCGCCCTAAAGGCACACAGGTATGGGCGGGGCAGGGTGACTTCGCTTTGCCAGCAACCCGCCCGGCAGCGCGACTTTCCCTGTTGGTTCCCGGGAGGCGCGCTCCCTTGCGCCAACAGCCTGCGAGCCGCCAGGTACGGGGCGACCTGCGGCCACCTTCTCGGGTCCCCAAAACCATTGTCGCGGCAGGAAGTTAGCTTTCCATCTGCCTCTCTGTCCCCAGCAGCTTGTTCCTTGCCCCGGCTTCTGCCAGGGTCTTGCGTGCCCTCCTCTGCCCCTGCCCCTGCCCAGCGTCTCCAAATGCCACGTCCTCTCGGCTGGACTAGGGTCCCCGAAATCCCCATTCCCCGGGGGTGAAACCTTGCGAGGTGCGCAGCCTGGTGAGGACCCCGGGCTCATCACGGAGGGCATTGCTGCTCCGGGAAGCTCCCGAGACCGGCGTGCCACGTTCGGGAGCGAAGTTGGCGATGGGCACAGCCCCTCGCCCGCCCGGGACCTCCGGGGTGGCGTCCATGCGTCCGCGCGCACTGGCCTCACTGGCCGCGGTTGCCGCCCGCCTGGGGCGCTCTCTTGAGGGACAGGGACAGCTCCTCGAGCTCGGGAGGAACCACGAGGACCAGCCGAGGGCCCGGGACTCACCTTGATCAGGTCGCTGTCGGTCCAGTCGGACCAGTAGTTGAGACCATCGCCGGCTCGGATTTCCTCCGCCAGCAGTTGAGTGGAGATGAGAAAGAAGACGGCCACGGCCAGGAGGATTTTCATGCTGGATTTCTGGGATGGGCAGGGAGAAGAGACCGCGGAGGGGGGAAAATGACATACATGGGGGTGTCTGGCTACCTAAGACTTGGGTCAGCAACCCTGTCTTGCCCCACAACGGAATCAAGATGGAAAAAAGCCTGTACCGTGTAGGAAAGAGAAGCAGCCCCAAAGCTTCTCAAATGCGCTTCTTCCCCGGACCCTAGTCCCTTCCAGCCCCAAACCCTCCCACCGATCCACACTTCCCAGCCAGGAGGCTCCGCAGGTGGAAGACAAAGAGGGACACCGGCAATCGGGGTGCATGTCTCCCCGCCATCCTCCGCTGTCCCCCCACTGCCCCTCGCCCCAGCCAGCCAGCCCAGCCAGCGGGCTCCCTTGGGCGCACAGCCCGGCGCGGAGAGCCCCCGGCGGGGCGCAGGCACTTACCGCGGCGGCGGGCAGACCCGCTGACCCGCAGGGACCCTGTGGCCGGTCTAAGCGCTCGCTCCGCGCTCCGTCCACACTCTCGGAGCCGCGACGGTGCAGGAGGAGGAGGAGGAGGAGATGGAGATGGAGTGCGCTCTCCGCCTGCCTGGTGCCCGCGGTATTTATCCGCCGCTCCGCGCGCCTCCAGGCCCACGTGATGCGCTCCCCACGCGACTTTTCTGCTCAATATTTAATTAGCCGCCTCCTCTCCCCTCGCTTGCGTCTGATGGAGAGTTTCCGAGACGGTCACCCGTCGTCGTGGGTGCCCGTACTATCTGGATCCAATTGGGTACGACATGACGCACTTTTAGGAAAACGGGGATCTCGCCATCCAATCCCCAGCTGCCAGTCTCCTTCCTCCTGCAGATGTGCCCGCCGCCCGCTTCTCTCCCCTCCTTCCGCACAGGGTTTCATGACACCTGAAATTACTCATCAACAGAGAGCACTGTGACTCATTTCTTGGACTTCCGAGGCAACTTTTCCGTCTCTCTTGAGATGTCAGGATAAGTTGTACTTTTCAGGATGGCCAAGTAACTTCCGGCATGAAGATATTGTCCTCGGAAATCATACTGAGAAAGAAGCACTTCAGGTTGGAGTGGGGGGGCGGGGATCGTTGTTTTCTGTTTCCACCTGCAGAGTGTCTTGTTAAGTGTTTCTGAGATACATCCTCCTCCCACATCAGCTAGCACACCTACAGTTCTTCAGCATCACAAAAGGATTTTTAGTCCCGTAGTATTCAAATGGTGGAAGCAGATTTATTTTCCATTTTGGAGAAAGGTGAATTTAAGCGTGCCATTGCACATAGAATTTTTGTGTTGGTGCCATTTTAGGATATCTTTTGTTCCAAGGTAGCCAAGACCTCTTTCTGGACACTTCCAGGAGCAGGGGCTAGAAGAGGATACACTGAGTGGCCAGGTTATTATGACCACCCATCAGTACTTCCTTGGGCCATCTTTTGCCTTTAATACTGAGGCAATTCTTCTTGGCATTGACTCCAGGAGATGTTGAAAGGTGATGCGAGGAATCTGACACCATGCCTGATGAATAGCCCTGTCCAGTTCTGAGAGATTGATGGTTGTGGAACCAGCGGCCTGATGGCTCTTTTAACTTCGTCCCACAAATGCTCCATTGGATTGAGATCTAGTGATGGTGGGAGGCACCTAAGAAAGGTAAAGTCTCCTCATGTTCTTGAAACCACTCCTGCACAACACAAGCACCGTGGTATGGCACATTGTCTTGTTGGAAGAAGCCATCTCCATTGGGATACGCCATCAACATGATAGGATGAACTTGATCAGCAATGATACTTAGGTATGTTGTGCTACTCAGACATTGTTCCACACGAATTAAAGGGCCCAAATCATGCCAGGAAAACATGCCCCAAACCATAACACTGCCCTCACCAGCTTGAAGGGTTGTACTTATGTTTGTAGGGTGCATGCTTTCATGCTGTTTCTGTGAAATTCTTAGTCTGCCATCTGCATGATGCAACTGAAAACATGATTCATCGAACCACATGACTTTTTTTTTTTTTTTTTTTTCCAATGCTGGACAATCCTTGTGTACCTATGCAAATTGGAGACATTTTATCTTGGTAAATGCAGACAGCAAAAGTGTTTGAACAGGCCTTTAGCTACCATATCCCATATGATGCATGGCCAATTTGCCTACAAATGTCAGGTGGTCATAATAATCTGGCCACTCAGTGTATGTTTGTGCTTCTCTCCTACCCTTTCTTGCTAAGACTCAGAAATCAGCAAGATGGTGTAGGATGTTTACTGGGTACCACTAAAGGGTTCTACAGATCACTCACTTAAGGACTCAATAGATCATTCATAGACTTCTTTGTCTATGAAAACAAAGGATGTGAAGATGTTAATCAGGTGGTCATTAACAGTATGAAACTATTAGCCGAATAACATATCTACAGAAATCACAGCTTTTCTTGCAGACCCATGTCTTTCATCTGTAAATGAATTAAGTGACATTTGTTTCTTGGGTGGAGTCGTTTTCTCCTCTTTACTTAGTATTATATTTTTCAATTAATTCTGATGTTTTTAGTATAATGCATGAAAGAAAAAAAATTTGCAACTTACATAAACCAGTAGTTTTTTCTCTAATACTGTTGTTCTTTCTTAAGTAACTCTGCATTTGGAAATTTCCATGTATCTACTTCTTTTTTGAGGTCTAGCTTCACAACCAAGTTTTTATAACTTTTTATATGGAAAACTAGTGCCCCAGTGCATGGATTTGTGCACATTGAAAGGAAATTTATTAGTAGAAATATTTTAATATTGTTACTCTCCCTTTCTTTATAATAGAAGTGTCAACCAAATTCACAATCAACAATGACAGATCGAAACACACTTGAGCCATTGGTGCCAGCTAGAGCTTTATATGTATCTCACATGTGGGAATCAACATCTATTTTTAAATTGCCAGTGTGCCTCATGTTACTGTCAGTTGGTTGGTTGGACGGTCAGATGGACGTACAGTTGGTCACTTAGCCTTTTATATATATAGATTATAAACATACAAAAGTTGAGAGAATCATTCACTCAAAACAGTTTGTGAATTTCACTTGCAAACTCTTCATATTTCCCCTCGACCCAGGTTATTTTGAAGAAAATCCCACACATCATTTCATGCTATAAATATTTCAGCATGTCTATATAAATAATAAGGATTTCTTTAAACACATACACACACACACACACACACACACACACTCAACCATGTCATTATTCCATCTAAAGCAACATTAAATAATTCCTTATGTAAAATATCCAGTCGATGTTCAAATATTCCTTGTTTCACAAACCCCTACCCCACACAGTTTACTAGAGGAAATCAGAATTGTAATGAAGTCCATACCCTACACTTAGTTCATATATCTCTAAAATCTCTCCTAATCTATATTTCTTCTCTGTCCCACCTTCCCTTCCTACCACCCTTTGCAGTTGATGGCTAAAACTAATCAGTAAAATGTACTACATTCTGGAGTTGGCTGATTGCCTCCTAATGGTTTCTTTTAACTTGTTCCTCTGTCCTATTTCCTGATAATTGGTATACGGAACATGGGAACTTCATCCCATGTAAATTCAACTTTTCTGACAAGGCTAGTTTACATGTGTCAGTAGGAAGCACATGATATCTGATTGTTTCTCCCTTTGAGATGTTAGCAGCCATTGATGATCATTTTCTAGATTCATTAATTAACTCATTAGTACTTTCAAATAATGTTATCCTGATTTTATTTGGTAGGTAGACTATTTCTTGCATATAAAGATAAACTTTTTTCCCCCAACAACTATTTAATTATTTCAAGACATGACACATATAAGAAAGATGGAATATACGCTTGGATACTTCCCTTTACTGATTTTAAAAATAGGTTGGTAAATTAACACATTAAAATATGGTCCTTCCTCCCCCCCCACCCCCCAATTTTTGGATTATTATGAACTCATGGATTTAAAAACATTTGAAGTATTTCAGTACTTCAAAGGAAGACAGAAGCAGGTTTTCTAACCAATGCTCCAATTATCCTATTTCTTGGCCAGTGGGTGGCATTTCAATTGGCTCCTGAGACTTTGACATGCTTTAGCTAGGCTTTATTGTTATTGTTGTTGTTGTTGTTTTTGTTTGTTTGTTTTTTGTAAGACAAGACATTCCAGGTTTAAGCTGTGTACTTTCTATCTCAGACCTGCAGTTTGTACTTAAGGAGCTCTCATTCCCTTTGAATTAGAAATGATAATTAGAGATTATAATCTGGGCTTTGTGGGTGCACATTGCTACTGAGTTCTTTATATTTCAAGACCAATAAATAGAGCTGAAAATGTGTGTGTGTATGTAAAATTATGAATGTACTAAAGGCCCAGTGCATGAAATTCGTGCATGGGGGAGGTGTCCCCTCAGCTCAGCCTTCACCCTCTCTAATCTGGGACCCCTCAGGGGACGTCTGACTGCTGGGTTAGGCCCGATCCCAGACATCCCTCTCATAATCCAGGACTGCTGGCTCCTAATCACTCACCTGCCTGCCTGCCCGGTCATCCCTAACTCTTCCTCCTCCCCCCCACTGGAATGATCACCCCTCACTGCCTTTGCATGCTGACCTGATTGCCTCTAACTTCCCCCCCTGCCAACCTGATGACCCTTCACTGCCTCTGCATGTTGGCTTGATTGCCCTTCACTCTCTCTGCGTGCCAGACTGATCACCCCAAACTGCTCCCTCCCTGCCAACCTGGTCACCTCTAACTGCCCCTCACCCCTTGCTGGTCTGGTCGCTTCACGCAGCCTGCTTATTCAGTCATTTGATTGTCCCTCACTAACCCCCTGCTGGCCTGGTTGCCCCACACAGCCTGCTTGTTCAGTCGTTTGGTCCTCCCTCACTAACCCTCCTGCCAGCCTGGTCATAGGCAGCCATCTTATGAGGGTGTGATGGTCAATTTGCATAATACTTCTTTGTTATATAGAATACTGACACTTTATATTCAAATCTGGACAATGTAGGGGCTTTCTTTGACATCTTCTGTTTTGTATCATTTTCTAACATGTCAAAAAATTCTGGTTCCTGGTGACATTAACGTGATTATTCATTTGTTTTATCACAATACACAATGCCAATTTGACCAACAATATTATTATTAGAAACAGAGTAAGAACTTTTATTTGCAAGTTTTTTTTATTTATTTTTAAGATATGTCATACTTGGTATGTTTAGTCAATTTACTATGTTTTAAAGTCTCTTTATAAGTTCTTTTCTTCATGGTTATGCTACCAAGTCTTAGTTGCACAGGTTTATTTGCTTATTTTGGTCTCAAGTTTTAGGGAATGCTTTTTAATTTTAATTTAAGTTTAGAATTATGTAAAATACTGCTTCCAAGCTCAAATACTCAAAACTTAATGCACTCAAAGTTTAGGAAAATGAGCACTCAAACTTTCTTACAGCTCTCCTTCCCCCACCACTTCCTTGTAGTTATGTGATTGTTTTAACATTATTTGGGTTATAATATATTTTTATTGATTTCAGATAGGAAGCAAGATAGAGAGATAGAAACATCAATGATGAAAGAGAATCATTGATCAGCTGCCCCCTGCATGCCACCGACTGGGGGTCAAGCCCACAACCTGAGCATATGCCCTTAACCGGAATTGAACCCCAGACCCTTTAGGCCACAGGCTGACGCCCTATCCATTGAGCCAAATCAGCTAGGGTTCACATTTAGTTTTGCTCCCATGCTTTCATTAGTTGTTTACTATTTATTTAAACAGATGTATT